TTGTTTGATTTGGAGAAAATCTGTACTACGTGGTAAGAGTGGAAAGAAAAATATGATTAATAATGGTATTTGGGAATTCTTTTAATCTTTTATAAGGTGGCTTTGTACTACTTTCCAGCTAATGCTGTGGCAAATAATTTACCAAATGCGAAAATTAAGAAAAGTACTGTAGTTGTGGGAGAAAAGTGTTGTAGGTAGTGTTATCAAAAGGGCCTTAATAATTTGGTAGATGCATCTTGCTTCTTGTCTGATATAGCAGCTAGTCCTTAACTCCTTATATTTTCTTCTCACTTCTTAGGTACTCCCTGCGTCTCAAAATAATTGTTGTTTTTTGACTTCTTTTATAGATTAAGAATTTGTAGACAATTTATGTTTTTATCTATAGAGAAAGTTTTAGTGATATAATGGATAATTAAAGTTACCCGATAATAATAGGGTTAAAGTAGGAAAAAAATTATCTAGCCTAAAAAGTGAAAAAAAAAAAAAATTTTGGACAAATTTTGAGTCAAAAGCGACAATTATTTTGGGATGGAGTAATGTAGTAAAATAACATTTTGCATATGCACTGTGTATCATCTGGTCTTGTTGCATGCTTTGTTCTTTTTGGAGCGTTGAACAGTTTCTGTGTCAATTCTTAACCTTTTGAGTTTTAACTTTAATTTTGTAAGAAGACATGCTGATGACCTAAAAGAGGGCTCTTGTGGACAGGCATTAGTCAGAGTGATCTTACCATCATGGAGAGCCACATTGTATATTCTATGAGTAAAGAGAAGACGGCAACTTGCTTTTATATAATGCAGTGCACCCAACCGAGCTTCAATCATGTTATTGAAATGCCAATCCTTGATGCTATTGATAGGTGTGCTTCTAGTCACGATCTTATCTTGACCTTTTCATGCTTGTTGTGACGCCTCTTTATCATGTACAAAGAGGGTTTCATGCAAAAACCGTTAAAACATGCAACCTGTTTTCCATTTAATTATAACATATGCATGGTTTGGAGATCTCCATAATTTAAAACCCAAATGTAGTTTTTACATGGTTTCGAGAAGAGCTTCAAGGGACAGAATCCATGCAGGGTGGCAGGATTCCATCTCCAAAAACCAAAATTTTCTGTTCATCTCTTCTTCTTTCCCCTTTCACATGCCCTAAGTCCCGATATTTACAAAAATGCCATCATGAAAGCCTTGTCTTTAACTAAGCTTTGACTCAAGTTTAATTATGCTAAAACAAACCACATAATGGCTATTTAGAGCATAAATGTATATTATAACATGTTTTACGTCATAATATGTTATTTTCTAAGTTTTGATGTGTAAAAAGACCAAAATGCCCTTATTATACTTTTTATTGATTAATAAGCCATTTTAACTAACTTAGTGGCATAATTAATACTATATCACTATAAAAGTTAATCTATAATACCATGGCCTCTTCTAGAACCATATTTCATTATTTTCAACCCAAGGAACTCATCTTTGCTATAATAGACACTTTGGTCCCCAAATTTTCATTCTAAGCATTTAAGGGCATTTAAGGGCATTTAAGGGCATTTAAGGGCATTTAAGGGCAATTAATGGCAAATTGGAAATTAAGAAAATTATGGGTGTTACTTTTGTCACTTGATTATTGTTTGTGCTGTTTCCTCTTCTTAGTGTCCCAAAGATGCATTTTGGACATGCAATTGGATAAGATAATTTTCTCACAATCATAAACTATGTTTACTTCTGAATTAATAGTAATCTAGTTGTTCTAAATAAGTTGCATCTACTAAAATTTTGCTCTGAGCTAGAAGAATATATTCCAGAATCGTTTTTGCAAAGTTTTATATTCTTTGGGTTATCTTTTTCTGAAGTTATTAGATAAGATAAAATTTGTATGTTGATGCATAGAATAATCTGTTTATCCTATTTTCCCTATTTTCCCTATCTTATTAAACCATGTACAAAGAATGCTAGACTTATATGTGGATGAGGGATTTTTTATAAGTGACCATTAAACAAAATTTTTGTTTACATTGTTATGTTCCAAGAGTAAATATGTGAAAGGCCTCCTGGCTTCTTTTTAGGGTATGAAAACTGCATGTCTGGCATCGACGATACTTCACGTAATTGGATGTACTGACATCTGGATGAAAGGCTAGAAATTATTAAAATTACTGTATTGTAGGTCAATGTTCTAAGGTGACATGATAACTTTTCCATTTGACATGCAGGGGTAAATTTCCATCAATTCTATGGTACTTAATGACATGAGGCATCATAATGCTGCATACTCTCTTGTCACATGAGATCATTCTATTAGTATCCTCCATCTCCAAGGACTGTTTGTGTTCTATATAATTTCCATCAATTCTATGGTACTTAATGACATGAGGCATCATAATGCTGCATACTTTCTTGTCACATGAGATCATTCTATTAGTATTCTCCATCTCCAAGGACTGTTTGTGTTCTATATAGTTAGGCCTAGGATTATGTATTTGGTTCTCTTCTTTTTAATAGTGATTGTTGTGCTAATATACTTAGAAAGTATTTTCACCCATCAGAAAGCAAAGTTGAAAGAACTTTGATGTATCTGTATTTCCTTTGTAGACTGCAGGGTCCTTTGATCAGAAAGAGTTCTAACCAATGGATTACTACTTCAGTTGTTGAATATTTCCATGTGCTACCTTATGCGCAGGTGATCAGAGAATGTTTCTTAAGGTTTGTGAAATTTCTCAACATGTTATCATCATCTATATGCTTTAAACTGCAAAAGTTATATGGATTTTATAAAGCTGTTCTTGAACTTTTTCACATTTTAGCTTTACTTGCCATCTTTTCACAAGCAATAAATTTTAAACATTTAGTGTAGAGTGAATTCCCTTTCTAACATTCGGTTTTGCCATGTGAAATATTGCCATTGGCTTGCAAGTCATTTAGCTAAGCTAAAACATCTTAACCGTATAAAATTCTGTTCTCTTGTCTTGGGTGTTTCAGAAATATAGTGGTAGTACTACTGATATCTATGTTCTCTCATGAATGTGATTTTACATTTTACCCTTAATTAGGCAAATATTTGTTTTTTAGCTGATTATTGAGCAAAGATAAATCCATTACATTTTTGTTTAAGGTAGAGACCAAGGCCAGGGATCAACAACCTGCCATAATACTAACTTCAGTCCCTGCACTAGGTGCAGCTTTTGGTGCAAAATTTCTTGAAGTATCTGGCATGTTGTTTTCTTTGAGTTCTTTGCAAGCTCAGTGTCATTTATTTTAGATATCTTTGACTTGCATACATGGTTAATTTATTTAGCAGTTGCCTTACGGTTTCGGATTTTATAAATATTATTACTATCCCTTTTCCAGTGGAGAGGCCATATACTAAAGATACTATTTTACCCTCATGTCAAAAGTAAGAAACTACTATTCTCATTATCCAAACTTACTTACCTACTCAAAGTTTTCACTTTCAAGCTGTGAAGAAAATTAAAAAAGGGAGAAGCTAGAAGCAAAAAGTGAGAGAAAGGCATCGTTCTTATTATTATGAGATGATATTACTGTCAAGTGCAAAGCCTTTATGTATGGGCTTAGTGACGAATTGGCCAAGAAACAAATAATCAATCCATAATAATTCCAAATCAACTCTAAGGCCTATTACTATAGTTGACTCAATCACTATTAATACAGTCTTCTAATATCTCTTAACACAAGTTGAGTTTTCTTTGTTTAGAATTGCAAAATTTATAAATACTAAAACTAAAGTTAAAACCGCAGTCATACTAAACAAAGCCTAATTAGGCTATTTTGAGCCTATTTTTCTGATGACATGGCATTTTCTTTTCTTGGCATCAAACTAGTTACAAAGAAAGAGTTAACCAATCTTATTTGGCTACTTGTAAAGAAAATGTCATGTCATGGAAAGACTAAGCCCAAAATCAGCAAGAGCTTAGTGGGTATTGAAGGGGAAAAGACAGAATGATGATGTATGATTATTTCATCTATTAAATTATGGCTAATTTATTCAACAGAAATGTAGGAGGGCTAATTCATTCAACTTGAAAGTATGAGGAGACATTTATTTTAAGAATAAGCGTTCATTTCAATAGTCACTGGAAGTGGAGAAGTGAATATACCATTTTTGCCTTCTTTTTTTATTCCCATTTATTCCAAATTATCTAGGCATATGAGCTGTCTTTGCCTTCTGTTATTTTCTGCTAGGTTGATATCTTCTACCGTATGGAAGAGATGGTGGTGTAATTCATCAATCTTTTGAAATGTGTTTTACTTTAAAGTGTTTTACTTTACAGGAAAGCATTTGCTGACAATCTACAAGATCAGAGTTCAGGAGAAAGAGAAAGAGAACTGGATTTAAACAGCTCTGAAAGGGGTGAAAGACAGTGTGATTTAGAATCTCATACTGATGGTGATGGATATAGATGCCAGATAAACAGTGGTATAGTGGAAGCTGCAGAAACTGGTGCTAGTATTGAATCAACAACACAGAATGTTAACCACAGGCATTGTACCAATGGTTTTTCAGATGTTATTAGCAGTCCCCACAATATGGATGTTGATGACTCTGCTGGAGTTCATTGGGAATGCAAAGCTACAATTGAAGATATTAACCGTAGGGTTGAACTTAATCCTCAACAAATTGTGAACCCTTGCAAAGAGAGTGATTTAAGTGTCACAAATGAGGGTGCAAAGGTTGGTTTATTATCTTTGTCTTTGTCGCCATAGTTCTTTAACTCTTTTACTTCATTGTTTGGCTTAGTCTTGCACAAGATAGTTCAATTTTATGAGATCCCCTCTTAGGGTAGACATGCAGACACTTGTTAGCAAAGCTTGCCTAGCAGTTTAAGCTATTATAACAAGTGACCATTTAACATTATATTAGGGTTGACTTATAGCAAAGCTACTAGCCTATTATAACCACTGACTACTTGACTTAAAAGTCTCAGGGTTTGGATCTGTAGAATCTTTATATGTTAATATTGAAGTTAAGCACTTATATAAGGTCATATGATTCAAGTGCTTGCAAAGGCTAACAGGCTTGTGGGTTAACCCAGTCCTTGCAAGTAAGGATGTATATTAGATCTAAATAATGCTTAGGCCTTGCATATTAGGCTAGCTTAAGCTTTTACGACAAGTGGCAATACAGCTTAAAACAATAAATAGTATTATGGGTAAATTAAAACTTAACAGGGAGAAAAAATATCCAAGGTTTGGTTGGTTTAAGTACATTGAAACCCAATTTCTAAATATTGTGCTTGTCAT